GCTGGCGACCGCCTTCTGGACCGGGGCCCCCTGCCACTCCACCGTCCCGAAGGTGTGCAGCCGCTGGCCTGGGGGATCTGAACGACGGGGGCTGGGGTAAGAGTGTCCTGTCTGCCCCTGTACCCCAGGCTTGCTCCAGAAAGTTTGAAGGGTGTATACCCGGCCTCAGACAACCCGCTCCCCCAAACCCATGACCAACTAATCTATGACAAAAGCCCGTGATGGATTTGGTATATGTTAATTCACAATGCCCTTTCCTCCAGAATTTAACTATAAGTTAATACACACCGGAAACCACGCGCATACACGGTCGTTAATGGGCTTAGGTATTAGCGAGTCCTAACGATGCATACAAATGTGCTCTGCGCTCTGTAGGCCCCTCAAGATTTATGGGCCTTGAGCTCTCTGAAGCTGTAAACAAGGAGAAAAAAGAGAAAGAGAGAGAGAGACTGGGGGAAAAGAGACAGGGGCCTGACTCACCCCTCCAGGTTGTGGGAGAGAAGGGATCTTTGCAAGTGGGTTTCACTTATTTTCCTTTCCTTACCAGCTCCCCTCGCTCATGCGTGGGTTTTGGCAGGGTCTGGGGGTGGTGTTTGTGCCTGAAAGCTGGTGTGCGCGGGCAGTGTGTTGTTTGCATGCTGGGGTAGGAGGATGTCTGCCTCCTGTGAATTGTTGTGCAGGTCCTGAATGGAGCAGGCACTTGTGGGCATATGCTATGTGTGCACACCTGCTAGGTGTGTGTGTGTGTGTGTGTGTGTGTGTGTGTGTACACGTGTGACAAGCAGGCTTCCCTCTGGGTCTGGCTGCTGTACCCTGAACCCAGTGAACAAATCTCCAACAACAATCATAATAACAATAAATAAAAACAGTAGTTAATAGCCCCTCCCTAGCAGGATAACAGTAAAATGCAAGAGGAGATATTTTAAAGAGGGGATGGGGAAGGGGTCATGGTCACAGAATCTGAGGGGAAGACAAGAAAAGAAGTTAGCTTCTTCGTATATCCTTGGGGGCTGGGTTTGGGACCCCCCAGAGGAGGTTCTTCAGCCAGAGGAGCAGAGGGAGGCCAGGAGGCTGTTCTTTCCTGCTGCTTTTTTCCAGCTTTTGCTTCGTGTGATCAGGGGCGGGCTGGTGGCTTTGGGGACTTTCTGGAGCCCCTGTTTTAAAGAGAAGGCCAACCATGTAGGGTCAGGCCAAGGGACAGACATGGATAAGGCAATGACCACAGCTGGGCCCATTGTGCCAGGAGGTGGAGGTGCCCTGGAGGACGAGCGCGGCCGGCCAGGCAGGGGTGGAATTTATGGCCGCGGAGAGAGGGGAGAGCAAGGGCAGGGCTCCGGTAGGCCCAGCGAAAGTTCCCTTCCAAGGGTCTTTGGAGAGAGAGAGAGAGAGAGAGAGAGGAAAAAGAAGAAGAAGGAGAAAGGGGTGGAGGCCCGTTGAAATTCCTTGGCTCGCGATAGAACAGAGCGAATTTCCGTAACGGAAGAGAAGACACGGTCCCGGATCCTTCCATGGACGCCTCACTCTCTCCAGGTACAATTTTCTGATGATTACATGAATTTATTTACTTAGGGGAGGACAGAGTCAGAGGTGTAGAGATATGACCCTGGCCGGGAGGGAGGCACCCCACAGTTTCGGGTCTAACGAAATCCTCCCTTTAACAACAATTGTATCTACATAAAAATCAAAGAGGAAATATAAAAACACAAATTAGCCAACTTTTATAAGAGAAGAAAAGAAAATCACCATAACAAACGAGCGTGAGGACTTTTAAAAGATTTAAGTCACAAACCTTTTCAGAGGTTTGGATGCTTTTTCAACAGCCGATGACCCATCTGGTCAGAAAAGAGACGGAGAGATACACTTCCCACCGCGTCACTCCTTTGAAAGCAGTGCACACACCGATTCCACAGAGAACCGGGGCATCCTCGAATTTGAAAACCACACGGGGTGGAGGACACTACAGTAGCCAATCGGCAAAAGTAACAATAAAAGAAAATAAAACTGGTCGCACCGCTGAGCACAGGACATGGATCGAAGAGGCCCCGGGTCTGGGTTCCAGGCAGCTGCCAGGCAAGGCAGCGGCCCAGGGATGGGGTGTTAGGGCCGGCAGGCACCGCTCGCTCGGTCTCCCTCCCAAGCCCAGCCTGCAGCCCGCTTCTCCCCAGCCTCCGGACCCTTCTGCTCTTGGCTGGGATGCCAGGTTGGGGCTTCTTTAGTGCGAGGATTTGGGGTCCAAGAGGGGGGTAAAGTGACTCAAGCCAGTCTCTGCTCCATTTTTCTCCCCTAGGCCTCTCCACTTGCCCGAGCTCTCGGCCACCAGGAGACGGACACAGAAGGAGCTTGTGGGCTGCCGACTCCTGCAGGGCTTCCCAGAGTCCAGCCACCTCAACCCTCCTTGGGGGGAATATCGGTGCCAGACACCTCTGTGCCCTGTCAGATGTGACTGCGCTCACGTCAGGATTATCTTACAAAGAAGAAGAAGAAAAGCCGGGTGTTTATAGCTAGTTCTACTGATCCGTTCACATCTGGAGAGTTTATTTATAACTCCCACTAGAACTCTCTCTGTTTGGAAGCACTGGTGGCTCTATTGACAGACTGATGCCTAGAAAATATTGCTCTATCTCTAACCATACCTAAATGTGCTGTGGTTGTATTTACAGATTTATGCTCGAGGAAAATATAATTATTTCCATTGTGTTTGTGCATATACAATAGTTACAGGAGCAGATTTATATATGGGAAAATATACGACTCTCTTATAGCCATCCAGCTTTATGGACATTTGATATCCTGACAGATTTATATCTCTGAGCAGCTATATAGATAAATGTATATCGTTGGAATTACATACCAGGAGATATATACTTATTGATTGTGATATAGAGTGGTTAGAGCATTCACTTAAAGCCATATATGGCTATGGAGATATTTCTATATTATTATCACTATATATAGGCATATCTATTTATAACTACATAGTTATAAAAATAGACATAAGTAATTATAGTCCTATATGTACATGCTGCTATCTCTCTTGAGAGTTATAGACACTTGCGAATATAACTCCATAGAGATATCTGTATGTATATAAGGGTGTAATTATCTCGTGATGTGTGTAAATTGGGGCTTAGGCCAGTCTATCTCTGTACAGACATATTTATATGTAGGGGCTGGGAGAGACTTATTCACGGAAGTATTTCCAGAGGGCCAACTGGAGAGCTGCATGGGCCATCTAGGAAGGCAGCTAGCAGAGTTCTGACTAATGGAGGGATGGAGTTACAAAAGGGTAAACAGAGCACAGGAAGCCTCTAGGAGAGGAGGGGAATGGAGAGTGCCTGGGGCTCAGCAGGAACCGATAGACGGCGAGGAAAGGGGAAACACCTGGTAAACACCCACTGGAGGCCGAGGCCAAAACCGGTTTTGTCAGGGGCTAGCGGCAGAAGGGAGCGGGTGCGGGTCTCATGGAAGGGGAGGCGTGAACAGTCCTACAACCCAGAGACACCCTCCACGGAGGGAGGGAGCGGCCTCCGGCCGGCTTGTAATGCACTGAAGGTCAGCAATCCCCTAGCCCCTCCCGAATTCCTTGTGCATTTTTCTTGAACCCTAATTTTAGGGTCTTAAAGAGTGGGCTTCAGAGGTGAAGAGATTTAGGAGGGAAAGGCAGGGCGCAGGGTGCACTTTCCCCACTGCTGCCCTCGGATAACACAGCCAAAACACCAAGGTAATGTTGCCAAGTAAAGCTTGCTTTCACCTGGGCCTCCTGGGCCTCTGGCGAGTGTGCGGCTGGGACTGGGAGCCTGGTGGACTGAGGGGTAAATTTTCTAGTATTGGGCATGTTCTGATGAGGGTTTCAGGAGGCCTTCCTCACAGGGGCCTAATCCTGCTCCACGGGGTCTGTTGCTCCTGAAATTGGGGTTCCCTCCCCTCTGGGTACATTGGGGCTCCTCCAGCTCCCTAACATCTCTGCCCTGGGCTTTTATGGGGAGAACTTGACTTTAAAGAGCAGGGAGCAGGGAGCTGAACGTCTAGCGCTCTCCTCTCTCACTCACATCTACACGGCTCTCTCCCCGCCAGCCCTCTTCCAGGCACCCCTGGGCTAAGGCTCCATAATCCTTCCCCGCCACCAACCATGGGAGGGGGACAACACACTCAACCCAAGTTCATTATTTTTTTTAAACCAAGGAGTCACAGGTATCTTTGTGAATGGTCTGTGTGAAAGATTTCCCTGCGCTCACGCTCGGTGGCCAGCTTCAGTCTCTCAGATGCTGGGGAAAGAATGCCAAGGGCCACCCTCCACACACCTCTGCCCACCGGATTGGCTCTCCAGGGCAGGGACTCTCTCTGGCACAGAGGAGTCGCACACTACATACTTGTTGAAGCAAACTGAGTGGCAATTAATTTAAAAAGCTTTTGGCAGAGAGAGTCTCGCCCTCCTCAGCCACAGCGGGGTAGCAGGTACCCGGGTCCCAGGGCCAGAGCCAGGCTGGGGATAACATGGCGGCGGGCTGTGGCAGGCTCTGCAGGCCTAGAGCTGGTCTGGCCTGAGTTGGCAGGTGGAGGGAGGTACCAGGAGCCAGGAAATGGGAGAGGAGGCAAGGCAAGTGCTGCCCCCCACCCCCAGTCTCCTGGCTCCCCAGACTCTCAAGTATATGAAAACTAAACCAGAGCCCAGACTTGGGCTGGGAAGAAGCCCTCTGTAGGTCTGTGGCTCCCAAAGAGGAACCACCACTTGGTCCATTAAAAAGTACACAAATAAAAATATATTAGCAGAGACAGCCAGCCTGGCTGTGGGAAAAGGCCTCTCTCTCTGCCCTGCCCTGCTCCAGGGATACTTACCAAATGGAGCAGAATTAACGTTTAAATTTTTTTAACGTTAAAAAGCTCACACATTTTCTAATCTAGTCATGCCCCTTAATTAGGTTGTTTCATAAAGTTATTTTTTATCCTCCTCATCTTTGCCCCCCCACACTTTGGTCCCAGTAGCATAGTTGCTTCCAGGAGTTTGGGGACAGGCAGTCATTGTCAGTGACGGGTGAGATTGACAGGTTCTGAGTTTCCCCATCTAGTAGGATCCCAGGTTGCAGGGAAGGGTCGGCCTTCCCCTTTCCCAACAAGGCTTTGAAAGGAGCAGACCTTCCCAAATTTTCCCCTAAGGACCCTTTGAGGCAACCTACCCTGTGCCTGGGTGAGGGACTGAGGTCCGGAGAGGGAGCTAAGTTAAATGTGGATCTCATTTCGGACCCCCAGCCTTTGAGTTTCCTCCTCAGACACCCAACTCTCTCTTCCCCTCCCCCCAACACCTAACGCCCACGGGGTGGTTGCTTTCCCTAAAGAAATGTAGGGTGGGGAACTGAGGGGCCAGCATTTACATATGTTTGCTTAAGTGGGACTTAGGCAGGTGTCATCTGGGGGAGGGAAGTGGGAGGAGGGAGGGGGTGTGGAAGGGGTGCTGTAAACCTCTGAACCTTCCAAACAACCTTCTAACCTCCTCTGGGGTTCAGGTAACAATTGTCCTTGGCCAAAGGCAGGGAATGAAGAGACACTAGCCATACATTTTGAGCCCAGAAATTTTGGGTTCCTTTACCTGGGCCGAATGACTCTTAGCTGTTTCTGGATTCCAGACCCCTTTGAGAACTGATAAAAACAATCTGCTCTCTCCCCAGCAAAATGCACACACTCAGTGTTGTTCACAGTTACTGGGCTTGCCGGGGAAGCACAGGACATCTGGGTTGAGGATTCCTAACTGTGTATTTTCCCTTTCTTTCCGTGACCCGTGCCCAGTTGTCTGATTTTGCTTTTGCCCTTCCTGAGTCCCCTTGCTTGGGAGTCAAGAAGCTCCTCTCCAGGTATAAACCCTGCCATTCTCGGCAAAGCCCTTTTCCTGCTTTGCTTTACTAGAGCAGGCACCAGGCAGAGGCCTTGCGTGCATATGCGGAGCTCCTTATGTGCTCCCCTTCTGCAGACACCGGGACTGCCTGTTAACTAAAGACTGGTCCACACTACCCAATTACTCCACTAATTCCGGGGGGTGGGGGGAGTCTGGGGGCATATTGGCAGCAGTGGAGGCCAGGCTGTAAGGGGACCAACTCCCATCTCTAGTGGAAACTTGAATGCAAGGAGCAAGTTGCAATTGCTATAATAATCATAATAATAACAATAATAATTTATTTAGCATATCATTAGATGTGTATTTACTGTCTTCCCTGGGCTTTTTTACAAGTGTCTCCTAAGGAATTCTCACAACACCCAGGGGAAACAATAATAAGCTAATTACCACCCTTCAGCTCCTTCTCCTCCCATCCACAAAGTCACCCTCGCAGAGAGGGAGCATTTACAGAGCCCCTCCCAGTACTTTCCACTTGCCTAGCACAGTCTCCCCATTCCGAATTCTCCCTCCCATTCCCAGTTTTTTTTTTTCATCATAATGATGGAAGTTTCCCCATAATTTGGAGGAGGAAAGGTTGGGAAGGGTAGTAGCTGAGGTCCAGAGAGATGTAGGTAGTAATACTGTTTCCCTGACATCACAGTAATATTTAGGATAATGTGGGGGTTGGAACCAAATTCTTACTTCTCTGCTCTTTGGGGGGCAGAAACTGCCTGAACATGGTTAAGAGGCAGACCAGGTTAGACAGAGGACTCCTGCAGCCATGATGCCAAAACATGAGTCAAGTTTAGGAGTGTGGCCAGTCCTGCAAATATAACGTCCACATTAGTGGCCTTCAGATTGTTCAGGCCAGATAGAACTCAGAGATGCCAGGCCCCACACAGCTCATTAGCCTCTTTTGGCAATGGAAAGAAAAGAATTTATATATAATATTCACACATATTTTTTTTGAGTGAATAACCATGAAAATTGTTATACTTTTAAAAATATTCATTTCTTTGTACTTTTAAATATAAATTCATATCTTCTCAGAGATTATAATTAAAACACAAACCAGACACATAGTTTTGGATGATGGATTCTGGGTGGACTCTTGGACCACCTAAAAGGCCCCCCAGAGTCCCCGTTATCTGCAGAGCATACACTTAGATACTCATTTCCTTGGCCCCAACCCAGGATGGAGAACTGTAGCTGACGTCATAACAGTCCTGGTCAAAGACAAAGCCGCTTGGCCTGTCATTGAGATCCTGGGTGTTGCTGCTCAAACTACCTAGTCCCTGAGGCCAGCACTCCACCTCTCTGCCCAAGTATGCAATTGCTCCTGGGAAGAAGCAAGTCTGAACTAGAGGGTATAAGAGCCAAGTAGAGTCAATATGAAGATGAACTGGAAAAGTTAGAATTGAATGTACTTTTTAGCTCCCTAAACCACAGGTGGCATAGTGACATTCTCAGTGGTCCCATAAGCCATTTGGTGTCTTTTCCCCTTTCCATGGTCCTCATGTCTTTCTGCTACCCATGCTTCCCACTGTATGCCTCTGGCACTTTCACATCCCCAATCCTATCAAAATTTACTCATCTTGAGT